ACCTGTGGCTGTATTTCCTCCTTTGCAGCTGAACATACACAAACCTGCAACTCAATCATCCAGGTAAACAACCTCAAATGGGTTTTACTTCATAGCACTAACACATTTGGAGATTCTCAGAAATAAYCTGCAGCCTTTAGATTTGATGTTATAAATGAGTTTGTGTTACTATTCCTCTTAGAAAGTGGAYAGCACCACAAAGCTTTCATTTTAATAAGCATGAATATGAAAATTTACCCACTGCGTAACACACAGCCTGTTTGAAAGCTGCTATCCCAAGCATGCTTTTGACTACAAACGACAACTTGCCCCGAGTGGAAATTCAGCTGATGAAAAGCACTGTTTTCACACTGGAGGCAGTGTTAGCAAAGACTAAATTTGTACCCCACTGAAGCTAATAGAAGCACATATTCTTAWGAAACGTCACTAGGATGAAACAGCTAATTCTATTTCACATTGCAGAAATATTTTCATGGAATAACATTAAATATTTGACATCATAAATAACATTAAATAACATTAAACATTAAATATGCTTTATTTTCTTTTTCTTTTACCCAGGAAAAACAAAGCCTGACAGGAGTAAGAAAATAAACTCCCATTCTTATCTTCAAAATATTACAAACCAAAAATAACTACCATTGTGAAAATAAAGGGTCAGAAAGCAACAACCTGAAAAGSAAAACAAGCAGATGAGCCTGTCTGGTGTCCTACCTTTAGGGCAAAATGCTCCACAGCCCATCATGGCATCGCTGGGCCACCCTCATGGTGCATCCCCGGGGGAATTGCAGTCTCTGGGGTGTTTGCAGCCCTTGAGGCCCCAGTGCTGCTGCTTTCAGAGGAGCTGCTTTAGTTCAGAGCTGTGATCCCACAGAACAGCCCAAGCACATCACAACTCTGAGCATCGCAGCAGAACAAGCCACTAACTGCCTATATAATTTAATATCATGCCACATGAGACTCATAGACCATCTGCAAAAGAAATGAAATCTGCTTTTTGCAGCTTGGTGAGCTGCATTCTGAAGGCTGGGATGCAGGTTTGATTGTGTGCTTTTGTTATCAGTCACATAACTAAACAAAGTGCTCAAAGGGCAAGTGTAAAACACATTTTTAGCAACCACAGTCTGCTTCCGCTCYAGGTAACTTGTAACTGAATAAAGTCACAATTCCCAAAGTATAGGAAAGAGCTATGCATAGACATTGCAACTTTGAATGGGAAATKATTGTTTCTACTTTTTTCTCTTTCTTTTTCCTTTTTAGTTGTTGTGAAACGTAGTCTGATCAACAGGAGTTACTTGAATCCTGTTCCCTGAATGGAGACGCACGTGTGATATTACCAAATTCAGATCCTGATCACATCACTCTTTTCTCTCCAAATRCTTCCCCACTGAAATAATCAGCAAAACTCATATGGAACAAGGATTAAGCTCTGAAACAGGCAAAAGCATGTAAAAAGCCAAAAAGCAGAGGAAAGGAGAGGTATGAGCCATCAAAAGAATAATAAACTACTGTAAGAAATAAACTTGTTTTATGGTCTATGGGTCCTWCCAAAGGGGGACAGTAATAAAAATACAATCTAAAGCAATTACTTACTTGGGCTAAAAATCAAATGCCTATGAAACATTCTACAGACAAACTTTTCTGTAAAAGGTTTAAGTGTTTGTTTCAACTTGGAGCAGGAAGAGAGAAGTGACACATCCTTGCCTCATTTCTAAGTCATGGAAAGYAGTTACCTTTCTAATTTCCAATGGAACTTCATTTAAAATACCAGAGCCAAAAGACAAGTATGGCTTGACAAKAGCAGCTCTGAAGTGCATAGCTTGGGGACCCAGCAGAGGAATTTCTACTCATTCTCTCTGTAATCCATTTTCACTTGCCACAAATGTAAACTCAAGCGGGGCTTGATTTCTAATTTGTGTAATACACAACAATACCATCATCATTCATGTGCACTTCCCCCTCCCCTTAGCAGAGATCACTGCAGGGAAAACACCCAGCACACTGGTGAGATGCTCTGGGCCTAGAGTTTCTCAAACTGTTCCTAAGGGCTCATTTTCAACCCTGCAATTTTCAGCTYTGTAAAAACAGAAGTAAAGCCAGGGAAGACTAAAGTCTTATYCAAGCCATTTTGGCCATCAATACAGGAAACAATTCAAAGGCAACATGACACTGATAGCTTAATTTGTGAAAATGGATAAATACTGGATCTGCCACATAGCACATTAACCCATGTAACAAATAAATACAGAAATAGCACTGCAATACTTGGTTAAAAGGTTTTGGTTCACAGAGGAGGAAATTCAATTAAAGCATGTAATGTCAATTACTGTCATTTGTAATTTTATTTTGCTTCCCTAGAAACAATACAGATGCAGAATTCTAAAGTTACCTGCATGTTTGATGCAAATGGGATAAAATTATCTAGGTTCTGAGAAAATCCAGATAGTAGTAGGAAAAAAMCCCACAGTTTTACCTAACCTTACTCATGGATCTTCTTCAAAGTGTTGGTCACATGAGAACAGACAAGCCTTCAATTTAAACACATAAGCCAACAASCCGGACCTGAAACAAGATTTTTGCATTTCAAAAATTATGTTAAGTCATGAGAAAGGCTGGGAGGAGACCAACTTCTGAATTCTCAGCTACTGCACATGGGTACAGCCTTACTAAAGCCAACAGAAGAGCACGGACTGATATCAGAAGAGGATTTGGCTRAGTTTATACTGATTGATTCCAGTAGGAAAATTACAGGGTCAGGTCCTGAACGTTTCTGTCTCCTTCACTCTGCTCTGTGTAAAAGCAACAGAGACTAAAAGGCACGTGGAGGACTCCAAGCATCTCAGCAGCACACAACAAACACTGCCAAATCTCATCAGTCCCTCTTCCCCTTTGCACGTGCAGTGACTGCAGCATCAGCCCCGTTCTGCTTTTACACCTTTACACCAACAGCTTTGCAGCAGCACAGCTCAGCCAGGCACACACTCATCCTACCCATGGAACATYCTGCTGAAGTCAGGAAATAATACCAAAATGAATTCTTTACATTACTGTGGGTGAAATAAATGCCAAATGCAAACTATGATCTGAGCTACACCAGAATCAGGAGAAAATCCGTAAGGAAAGACCTCCAAGCCATTTTCCTATAAGTATCACCACTTCTAAATATGGAAGCATCCTGCCTTTGAAAACCCATACTTTCCTCAACGGTGTAATGCTGCAGTGAAATGATTAGAATTATAGAAAAGAGCTAACAAAAGGAAGACTAAATCAATCAAATGCTTTCTTAAGCCTCTAAATGATACACATAAATCGTGTCTATCAGGTTCCCCCAGGCTATTTCAGGACCAAGCAGAACACAAAATTATGCAGATTCATTACAAAAWGTCTAAATCTAATCTTCCTGAATTTAAAATGCCAGGAATCATGTAMATGGAAGAAGAGATGACAGACCTTGCATGTTATACATATGCAGAAACAAGAGAGGTATAAACTGGGAGTCACGTAACGTGCTCATTTACCAAGAAATTACAGGTTAGATCCCTGGCAGTGCCAACATCTATTGGTGTGTAACTGCAATGAGGAAAAAAGTGTCTCCAAACTGCCTTTGTGCCTTCCCCTGCCCTGCAGAGGATGAGAGGAGCCTGGCMTGTGGGACTGCAGGGGATGGGAGATACTTAACTCCCCTCCCCATTCACCAGGGCTAAAATCCAAAAGTGAAGAATTCTGACACAAGCTGTGTGATGCAAAGGGACAAGGTAGATACCAGAGCTAGATTTTTAGACATGCAAATTAYCCAATGGTGTCCTTCCCAAGCAACCCAGATGAATGCTGACAAAAGTAATTTAAAAGGGGCAATTCCAACTAGATCTAGGTGGCAAAGGCAAAAAAAAATCAGAATCTTGACAAAAATAAAAYACCACTGACATGACACTGTTCACCTGTAATGTGATCCTGTTAGGATTGTTTAATCCTAACAAGCCAGTCTCATTCCCTGCCATTAAATCAGGACACACTCAGGTCTAAAACCTGCACCTGGAGCCAGACTTCTTGACTTGCTATGTGCTGACATTTTTAACTGAATGCAGAAATAACTCTCCTCGTGTTTTCTAAGCTCTGCTGGATCAACATTAAACATCAGCGATGCTACTGAAAACTCAGAAACAACCTCAAAGTCAACAGAATCTCAGCAGCACAAAAGCAGTGTCAGATCATAACTCCTGCAGATTGCTCTTGCAGCACAAAAATATTACTCAGCAAAAATAAAAGCTGTGCAATTGGTTACCAAATAGTTTACTCAGTGTTATGACATTATTCTCACGTGAAAAAATGCAGTGTACTAACTTTAAGGGATGCACTACACTGGCTCACAGTTTCTCTAGAACAAGAGGAAAAACCCCTCGATTTATAGAGCTGCACATTAACAAGTCCCTCTTTCTTGTTCCTCTCTCTCTCTGCCTTCCATTTAGTGTTCATGTTACTGGATTTCCTCTAGGCCTGGCCCCATTCATGACTGTATTACTGCCCCAATTCCACTTGAGATCTCCATTTCCAGAACCCTGCCAAGCTGGCAATACGGTTCCTGAGAGACCACTTTCCCTGACATGCAGTAACTATTTATTGACACACCACTGTTCCCATTCAGCTCTGCACCTAAGCACTGAATTGAGAGCAGTTCCATATGTTGGATCTGTTACACTTCTCTGGAAAATTATATTACTTTGGGTAAATAAAAAGCTAAGAGCAGCAGGAAAAATATCATAAAAACGCAGCCAAATTTGTTTCATCCTGCCTCCMTCAGCAAATTTGGTGACCTCTGCATATGAGTCATGCAAGTGCCTTAAAACTCACAGTGATTTATATTTTCAGGATAGGATGTTCAAGGCTTATATTTCTGCTCCTCAACCATACATTATTTTTCTTTATACACAATTTCTTGATAATTATCTTTGAACTAAAACATATAGGCACTTTTTCCTACTTTGTGGTGCACATTAACCAAAACCATTCATCTCAATAASCAGTCTCCAGGTTCTTGGCAGTGCAGAGCTGAATGTGTAGGTTATTCCTGGAACCATTCTAGGCTGATTCTCTCATCATAGTTTCAGTCATGGAAACAGGCTCCTACCAAGACAGGCATTGTTTGTTAAAAAGGAAATTCCCAGCATRTCTGTCAGAAATGAGGAGTAGTAGGGTACACCACTTAAAAACAGAATATTTGCATAGAGCTGTTCATCAGAAGACTTCAGTCTGTTCCACAAAYCAAGTGATGCTTTTTGGAGCTTTGGGCTCAGGTCCTGCTGAGGAACCACTCTACATTCACAGTCCCTCTGCAGCAGAGCTTTAGTCCTTGGGACTKCCCTTTATAAAAGAGCTACAAGTCAAAATACCCCACAGATACCAGAAAAAGGGAGATCTCACCCATCACTTGCACACCAACTATTTCTGATTCCACATTCAGTACCTGACTTTCCATTAGTTTTTCATACGATTTTATAAAACCATTAGTATCCATGCTACTGYTTTGCTGCCATCCTGCTGATCAGAAACACTAACTCCTACTGAGACAACTTCAAATCAAACAAAATTACTTTTCTATTTCTGTAGGTTGCCACAGAATGGCATGAAAGCTTCAGTGAATCRGACTGTCTGTTTTCAAGAGTTTACAGCACTTCTGTAACACGGGCACATTCTGAAATGTGAGATAAAAGGTAACTCTACAACCCACTGTGCAAACCTGGCACTGATTCTATGTGTTTGCGCTCTGAATTTCAATCCCAGAACTGTTGTATCAGGGTTGAAGGCATGTAGTCCATTCAAGGAGCAATCTGGTKCTCAGAATTTGGGTGACCCAACATTTCCCTGTGCGTCTCACAGGGCTCCATTGAGCTCACAGTCTGCTTTGAAGAGAACTAGCAAAAGAGGCTATTTTTCACTTTCTCTAAATATTATTAGTTGGGCTTTTAAATCTACAAAGCTGTGTTTTCTATGGTCTATTTGACCTTTATCACAACACTTGAAAGGTTACCAGTAAAACTGACTTGGAA